CTCTCGCTACCTCAGTGTCTTAGCAACAAGAGGCTGGCTGGCCCACCGCAGCTAACTTTCCTTCTACCCCCTCAAATCAATTAGTTCATCCATTTAAATCACGCATCAAAGAAGCCTACCTCTTTTGAACACACAGCTCACGAAGGGGCCAATCCTACACTATTTAAGCCAATGGACGTTTGCCAATTGACTTCAGTAGAAGGAGGATCAGGCCTTGAATATCCCAGCTTAGTATAAAAGACGTATAATGATAAAGAAGATGGTTGTGCCCCCCCTTTGTGTGTGTGTGTGTGTGTGTGTGTGTGTGTGTGTGTGTGTGTGTAAGAAAATGGCATGGCAGCTTCATAAGGGAAAGTCCTTAAATATTGATCAAAATCACCAAAGCATCTCCACCATTCACAAATGCTACATATTCATTTTTTTATTTGAGAAATTCTTCTTCTTTTTCAGCAATGCCCACAAGGAGTGAATTTACATAAATTATATTTGCATATTACAGATAAATCCTCAAAATTATTACCTTGAAGATTCATAGCAGACTTGGAAATAAAATCATATTTAATAATAATTGTAACTTCCCATATTAATATCTTAATTGACTGCCAGTCTGAACTGATAGAAGGAGAGGGCAGTCATTATCTACAAGTGCAACATGGGTTATCTTTCCTTTCCTGTAAATGTAGATTATTAACAATAATGAATAACAAGTAGATTATTAATAATAATCATATTTTGTCTTTGTGAGAAGGGGAAAATGGACAATTACTGCCTTTTGGTTAGGCATCTGCTGGGTGCGCTGAGACCACCACCTATCATGCTGACCAGTATTGTATCATAGTTCCCTGGTGCTTTCTTGTTTCCTGTATCCACCTGTCTTATACTCAAACTTAGAACTCTTTGGGGCAAGGGCCATCTTTTTGTTCTGTGTTTGTACAATGCTTAGCAAAATGGGGTGCTGGTCCAAAGGGGGCTGTTAGGTGCTAATGCAATACAAATAATAATAACTTAGGCCTGAATTTTCAGAGGTACACCTCTACCCCGATATAACACTGTCCTCAGGAGCCAAAAAATCTTACCGCGTTATAGGTGAAACCGTGTTATATCGAACTTGCTTTGATCCGCCGGAGTGCGCAGCCCCGCCCGCCCCCGGAGCGCTGCTTTACCGCGTTATATCCAAATTTGTGTTATATCGGGTCACGTTATATCGGGATAGAGGTGTACTGCCACTTCTATTTACTTTGTGGCAGTTGTGAGTGCTCAGCATTTCTAAAAAAACCAGGCCCTTGCTGATAAAAATTCAATTCCCAGCTCTGCCGCTTCTCCTGCTAGTTGATTTTGGGCATGTGACTGCTCTGTGCCTCAGTTTCCCCATCTATAAAAGGGAGGTACTGATACTGATCTCCATTGTAAAGCACTTTGAGATCTAAAGATGAAAAGTACTATATAAGAGCTACGGATTATTAATTATTAATAATTAATTAATTATTATTATAATAAAATCAAAGCCTTCCAAGATTCAATGTAATGAGTGCATCAATGTTTCCACCACTATACCCTGGGAGCAGGTGGTTTTCCTAGCTGTTCTAAGCTGGTCTGCCTGCCCCATATAGACTCAAAACTCACCCCCTTGCTGGGGCTTGACTTTATTAACAAACAAATGAAAAATAAGACCATGTGAAGTTCAATCCAAGCCTTTTCCCCAGGTGTGGCTGCTCTTAGAGTTCCTAGCTCAAGGCTGTTCAGTCTATTCCCCAGGACCATTCTTCTTCACACCCAGTATCCCTGTCAGGGCACTTCACCTCTGAAGCCTGGCTTTTTATTCCCTCCTGCTGGACAGCCTCATTCTCCTCCCATTCATAGCTTCAGTTTATAACTTTCCTACAAATTGGACTCTGCGTAGAAAACTGGCATGAAAGGGGTCTGATTTTCAAGCCTTCTGTTCACTATACAAATCTCACATGGCAACTCCCACTGACTTCAATGCATGGAGAGTTTTCAAAATCAGTCCCAAGTTCTTTACCCTGACAACCGTTATTTAGACCATTAAAATATCACTAACTGGTTAAATTCTAAGATTTGTGTTTGCTTTATGGCACTATAGGAGTGCATGACATTTCAACGGCAAATATAAAAATAGGATCCCTTCTCCAAAGGGCCAAGGCCAGCCTACATGTGGGGAAAACAGTGGCAAATAGAAGTGGGTGAACCACCCTTGGAAAAGAGCAATTTTCTGCAGAGAATAATTGAGAGGTAACAGCTGACTGGAGAAGACAGCAAACAAAATAGAGGGGAAATCATTCAGCCCATTTGTGCATGATGAAGATTAATAGTTTTTGCCATTAAAAAAATCCACTTCTAAAACTATCCAGGGGTCTGCTCTTGCATTCCTTGCTCATCCCAAACTCCTACTGACTTCATTGGGATTTGAGAGTATACAAAGAATTCAGGATTAAGCTCCAAGTTGCTTCCTTTAAGAAAGAGGTTAACAAAAAGCTACAATGTGTGTGTGTGTGTGGGGAGGGGATTTGATATCAGCCTTGCAGGGCCGGCTCTAACTTTTTTGCTGCCCCAAGCAGCAAAAAAAAGCGCCGCCCCCCCCCCC